TATTTACAAACAGCGATCAACTGATCGCTGACTGCTTGTACCCACTCTCCATCCTGACTCGCTGTCACAGGAGACTGAACGGGGAGGAGAGCTTGGTCTGTTTTGACAGCTGACTCCTCCATGACACTGCAGACTCAGCCTCCTGTGACCGCTCACAGCAGTCACCGCCCCCACACCGGTTTCCATCCTGATCTGTCACGGCGGGGAGGAGAACGTTGAGCTGCAATGTCACAGGAGGCTGAGCTCTCCTCCTGCACCACCCTGGTTAGCCTTCTGTGACATTGTGGCTGACAGCGCACTCCGCCCCGATGGGCCGGCTGAACAGTTTTCTTCTCCCCGCTAGACACTGTACTGTGTCAGAGGGGACATATAGCAGCACCCAGAGGGGAGGAGAGAAACTAGGAATGGACAGCAATTTCGCCCAAAAGATGGTACTTTCGGCATTTTGCTGAAAGTGCCATTTTCGGCCAATATGTTTCGGGGGCGAAATTTCGGTGCATCCCTAAAGGAAACCTTAACTTCCTACAACCCACAAGAGAACACAGTAAAGCATTACACATCCCGTCTGTCCCATAAAACAAAACAAATGAGAAACAAAACAGATTGAACTCATTAGTAACATAACAGAACATGGCAATATAGGTGTTTAAGGGTCCTTCACTCAGTTATTCAGCCTCTGGGTCAGAAGTAGGAGGCAAGGAAGTTTTTCTGCCAGTGTTCAATCTCCATCTTCTGAAATATTCTCCTGCCATAGTCTCCAATGGGTCCTGGAGCATGCCAGCGATCGGGCGGATGGCGATCTCTCACAGGGCGATTACAGTTCTCACCACTGAAGGTTGGTATTAATTTGGGATTTGACCCAGACACCCCTGGGTCTGAATTGTTAGGCAATAGTTTCACTTCATCTGGAGGGACATCCTGCTGTAAACCATTTTGCTCGTGAATATCAGTATTATCATCATGCCATACGCCAAACCAAATATCCGTGTCAGAAGATCTTGAAGGCATGTCCTTGGTCACGGAGACCCTTGGCCTAAGCTGATCAGTATGTTGTCTTGTAATACAACCTTCTGCTGTGGAGACTTCATACATTTTGGTACCTAGGACTTTTTAATTATTCCAGGTGCCCGCTGAAGCTTCCCTAGATAAAGACGAATCCATACAGTCTCTCCAATTTGGTAAATTCTTGTAACTCCTCCTCCGCTCTTCCACTTATCAAGCTGGTTTTTCACCTGCTCTTCAGGTTTCAGCAGATCAAGCTTTGTCCGGAGTAGCCTTTCCAACAGTAAGTTTGCAGGTGCTTGGCCTGTAGCAGGGTAAGGTGTATTCCTATACTGTAGAAGAAAATTTAGAAGATCCTGTGAAGGGTTTTTACCCATAGTTCGTGTGCTCTTTAAAGTTCCTACGAAATTCTTAACAAAATGCTCAGCCTGCCCATTGGTTATAGGGTGGTAAGGAGCAGTATGTTAATGCCGTATGCCAAGGTTTGTAAGAAAAGCTTTACACTTTGCAAACAACAGTTGTGGTCATTTGACAAACACTAGGACCTTAGGAAGGCCAAAGGTAGCAAAGACTCCTAATGCAGCAATGGTAGCTTTTGTAGTGGTATGTCTCATTGGGCAAACCTCTGCCCATTTGGAGTGGGCGTCCACAATAATGAACGTTTGTGCCTTAATAGGCCCTGCAAAATCAATACGAATGCATTCCCACAACTCACGAGTGCACAGTATACATTACAAGTAGAGGTGAAAAATGTTAAAACCGAAATAAAAAAAATTGTCAGGCTGAAACCGATACCGAAAATGTTTTTTATTTTAATTTTTTTTTTTCATAGACTTTTATTTTTATTCATTTTTTTTATTAAATATTTTTATTTTTTTACATTACTTTTAGGGGCTTTGGGGGAAAAATTGGGGGTCTAAACAGACCCCTGATATTTCCCTTTTTAAAATAGAAAAAGATATTGAAAACACAGAGACACAGAGTCCTCAATCTCTTTTTCTCTGTCCCTGTTATCAATTAACAGGAATCCTCTGAGTGTTCCTGTTCATTGATAACATGAGGACATGGTATATTTAGTATAACTACAACTATGAATGAACAGGAGGTGATGGTAGCTCACTCCCATTCATTCATAATTGAGGCTATAGTTAACATACCATGTCCTCAATTATCTAAAAACACTCAACGATCACTGATCGCTGAGTGTTTGCACCTTGCTCTCCTCTCTGACACAGGAGGCTGATCGATCGGAGCAGGGAGGAGAGCCCAGCCTCTGTGATAGGCGGCTGAGCTGTGTGGGAGGAGATGCCGACCGCTCACAGCGCTCTCCTCCCGCAGCGCTCGGCTGGCTGTCACTTCTCCCCTCCCCGGCTGGCACACCGAGCAGCGCCCAGCGGGGAGGAAAGAAACCTGGGATGCGCCGATGTATTGGCAGGAAAATGGCACTTTCGGCATTATGCCAAAAGTGCAATTTTCAGCCGATATTTTTCTGCGGCCGATATATCGGTGCATCCCTAATTACAAGCATGGCTTCTGAATGGGACATCCTCAAAAGGACGGGACAAGGTTATCAAGACTCTTTTACAAAGCAGGAAAAGAGTAACGAGAAGCATCTATCTCAAAGTTTGGCGTAAATTCAAGTATTTGACATTCAACCAGAAGTTAGACAAGCTTTAGGCTTTACCCACTATCCTGGATTTTTTTGCATGCTGATGCGGGTAAGCTGTTGGCACCTAGCACTCTAAAAGTCTGCCTAGCAGCCTTTTCTGTATTTTTGGATTGCAGGTTAGCCCTTGACCCTTTTTGATCAAAAGATTCTTCACTGCTCTAAATATAATGAATCCTAGGATAAGAAGTGTTACTTCTCTGTGGGACTTGCATATGGCTCTAGAATGCCTTACGGACCCACTTTTAAAACTATCACAGATGCGGACATTTACTTTTAGGTTGGCTTTTCTTATCACCATCACCACTGCACGTAGAGTTGGTGAAATTCAAGCTTTATCTATCACAGAACCTTTCCTCATGGTACTTAGTGACCGGGTCATTCTCAGGACTAATCCTGCTTTCCTACTCAAAGTGGTCTTGGACTTCCACCGAAATCAAGAAAAAGTATTACCTTCTTTCTGTCAACAAGCTACGTCAAGGAAGCAAAGTTTGCCTTTTTAAATGTTTAGAAGATGCATCATCCATTACGCCAAGGAAACTATCAGCTTTAGCAGATCCAATGCTTTGTTTTATTCAAGGGACACAACATGGGTATGAAGGCTTCCCGGTCTTCCATAGCTAGATGGATGAAGCCAACTATTACAGAGGCCTAAGGAAAATCAGGCAAGCAATGTCCTTTTCACATTACAGCCTATTCCACTAGGTCATTATACACATCTTTAGGCCGAGAAGGCTGGTGCCCCCATTGAGCAGATCTGCTAAGCCGCTACCTGGTTGAACATCTCTACCATCATCAGGCACTATTGGATTGATCTCCTCTCCAGTTAAGACCAGGCTTTTAAGCGCAAAATTCTTCAGGTGACATTTCACTTATCCCTCCATATGAACTATTTTGGAGGATGAAAAAGAAAAGCTGGAATTTATTACCTATCTTGTACTTTGAATCCTCCACGATGGTTAGCTCCCTCCCTATTTTTGTGTGTTTTCCTGGCACTGTTTTTGTCTTTATGCTTTGTATTGTCTTGGAGCTGTCTGGTGTTCTCATCTTTCTAACAATTGAGGACGTGAGCTCCCTGGGAGTTTTTAAATCTCTCTCATACTTCTGTTTCTTGTAGGAGGCAGGGCTTCATCTCTCATGTGAACTGTCCTGGAGGACTCAAGGAAAAAGAGTTACCAGGCAATAACTCCAGCTTTCTTATTGAAACCATTTGCACCACTATATTGCTTGTTCCAGATACCCTGATAGATACAATCCCTGAAGCCTAAAGATTTTTGGATTCTACTGCTGCCACATTCTGATATAACTGTAGCTGAGACAGTACTTTGTAGGGCAATTCCACCCAAAATATATCTGTGTGAATATAGGCCACATACCAGTTAATCTTAAAGTTTTCTCCTCTTGAACTTTCTGAGTTAGAATGGGAGGGCCATTTTTCCGTACCACACATTAACTACCTAGGGACCTTGTCACCAACTTTAAAAAAAATAGGTAAAAGCACAGGAAAAGCAAATAATTGATATGCTTATTTACAGTGGTTTTAATTTGCATAATTTGTTTATTCGCTTGCAGAATGCATTTGAATCTTTAAAATTGACTAGCCAGCTCTGTTGCACAGCACCTTATAGGCTTCTCATCTTTGGGAGTGTCTTAAGTACTCCGTGTGTTGGCTAAGGCTCTCTTTCCCCGACTTAACTTTCTGTGTAGCTGCCAGGGGAGTAGCGAAGTGGAATGCTAAAGAGTGGGGGTGGGCAAACTTCGGCCCTCCCAGAAGTGGTGCAACTACAAAGCACATTATGTATTGCAAGACTGACAGCCACAAGCATGACTTCCGGAGGCAGATGCATGATGGGATTCGTAGTTTCACAACTGCTGGAGGGCCAGAGGTTGCCTACCCCTGCTATAGTATGTCATTTGAGTAACGGCTCCAAGTCTGCTGGGGCTGCTGGCATCACATTCAAGATGGTGGCACCCATCAGTAGTCTACTGGCTTTTGGGTGTTTACAGGTAAAAAGCATACATTTTAAATGTTTTAATGACAAATAATCTTATGGGAGACAATTTATATCAACCAAATGATTGATAACGACTGCTTTAAGGTGGCAGTCTAAGTAAAACTGTGATTTCTAGTTGAACACAGATTGCAGAAAGGTCGTTTTTGTGAAACATCTTTTGTAGATAACTGCCACGTGAGAAATTATCCAATAAGAGCTAGATAGTTTTTTGTTGTTGTTGTTTTTTTCACCTTTTAGCCTTTTGCTATTTTTGTGTTTTTTTTTTTTTTTTTTTTTTTTTTTTGGTTTTTTTTTTTTTTTTTTTTTAAACAAAATAACTGCTCCTGAGTATAAAGTGATTGTGGATGCAAATAATTTGACTGTGGAAATTGAGAATGAGTTAAGTAAGTTTTCATGTTTCTTAACTTTTCACAAAAAATATACTTTTTACTGTGTGCACTGCACACATTCTGGTTTGTATGCATCCGATATATATCCAACACTCTGTCCTTACCAGATTTGTTGATGACCTAATTTGGGCTAACCACACCAGGGTGTTCAGAAACATTATGATTGCAAAATGTGGGCTATTAAAAGGAAATTATCTGTCCATACAATGGTTTAAGTGGATGGCCTTGGTTAATACTTCCCATCACTGTTATAAGCTCACCTAGTTTGTGTTGACAGGCTTCTGAATCGGCTCAGTGAAGCTGCCCCCCCCCCGACAATCCCGTTTCTTTAGTGCTACGTTTGTGCTGTTTTGTGCCGCAAAAATTACCATTTGTGCTGTTTTTATTTTAAAGATAATAGCAATTGTTTTTTTCAAGATGATATCACCAGCCCCCCTACAATAGCAAAATAACATGAAACTTGCTGGAAGGTTAGTGCTATATTTGTAGTGGTTTGTGCCGTTTAAAATCTCTATTCTATCTCCGTTCATTTTTGAGTTATTAACCATTTATTAAAAGGTCACTCAGCCCCCCACAACAGCCAAAAGACACACAACTGGGCTGGTTGATTTGTGCTGCTTTGTGCCATTTAAATCTTCATTCTATCTCCTTTCATTTTTGAGTTATTAACCATTTATTAAAAGGTCATCCAGCCCCCCCCACAACAGCCAAAAGATACGTAACTGGGTTGGCTGGTTAGTGCCACGTTTGTGCTGCTTTTATTTTTAAGATAATAGCAATTATGCATCACCAAAGGAGACCTTTTGGTTTTAGGATAATTGCTTTTATTTTAAAAATAAAAGCGGCACAAATGTTAATTTTTATGGCACAAACGTGGCACTAACCAGCTAACCCGGTTTCGTGTCTTTTGGTTGTTTTAGGGGGGGCTGGGTGACCCTTAATAAAATGTTAATAACTCAAAAAAGAAAGGAGATACAATGGAGATTTGGTGCAGTGACGCATGGGGGGGTCTCGGCTGACGTTGTGATGTGCGGGGTCCCTTGTGCGTACCTGTGCCTTTTAAGGGAGGTTGGGCTTCCTCCTGACAAATCTGCATCCAATTTTTAATCTTTTGCCACGTGTGCTCCAAGAAGGAGACTCTCATAGTTTAGAGTTAGGACCGCACCATATGGAGGTGCCTTGACGTGGCTGTGCGGCTTTCACATTTTCTGCAGAAGACATGTATCTAAACCTCTGCTTTTAACCTTAGTGGTTAGACAGGTTTTTTTGCATGCTGGCTGGTGGAGTGTGCTGGAAAACTTTTTACTGTTTGAAGCCCTTCCGTGTGCACCTTGCTGTAAAGCTGGTAACGAATTGATGAGTGCGTTTGCCATTTGTTTTGCTTAAACTGCACAAACCAGCACAAACATGGCATTAACCAGCCAGCCCGTGTTTTGGCTGTTGTAGGCAGGGCCGGATTAACATGGGGCAGGTGGAGCTCCCAATCCAGGCCTGCACCTGCAAATAGGCCCGGCCAGATGAGCCGGCCGCGCCGAGCTGTCCTGGTTCGCGGCCGCCCTTTCCAGGTTCGTGGCTGAGCTGTCCCGGATCGTGGCCGCCGGCCAGGCCGAGCTGTCATGGATTGCGGTCGGGCGAGCTGGCCATACAGCCACGGCCCTCTATTCAGGCATATCAGAGGGCCCTCTGATGTGCCTGAGCAGAGTGCTGCAGTCACCAGTCTCTGACCTCCCCCTGGCGCCCGCACTGACCGCCTGAGATCTTACACTTGCCCTCCTGGAGCCGCACTACAAATCCCAGTAAAACATTACACAGAAATTCAGAATATCACTAGCTATAGAGGACTACAAATCCCAGCAATAAATGATACACCAATGCAGATTACCACTAACTACAGAGGACTACAAATCCCACTAAAACATTACACAGAAATTCAGAATATCACTAGCTATAGAGGACTACAAACAATAAATTATACACCAATGCAGATTACCACTAACTACAGAGGACTACAAATCCCAGCAATACATTGTAAAGCACTGCAGAATAATACTATCAGCTATAGAGAACTACAAATCTCAGCAATACTTTATACAGCAATGCAAAATAATATGAGGCTACATATTCGGGCTGTCCCGGTTTAGTGCCTTTTGGCTGTTGTGGGTGGCTGGGAGACCTTTTGAATAAATGGTTAATAACTCAAAAACAAAAGGAGATAGAATGGAGATTTAAATGGCACAAACGTAGCACTAACCATCCAGCGAGTTTCAAGTCTTTTGGCTGTTGTAGGGGGGCTGGTGATGTCATCATCTTGAAACAAACAATTGCTATTATCTTTAAAATAAAAGCAGCACAAATGTAAATTTTTGCGGCATAAAACAGCACAGTCGTAGCACTAAAGAAACACACTGGGGGGTTATTCACAAAAGGGTGAAGAGTTTGGAGAAGGCAGGAGAAGTGAACAAACAATGTATGTGTTTTATTTTGTATATTTTACTTTTTGTTTTGTTTTTTCGAAATTAACAAAATGTTACATTTTATCCTAAAACATACAAATCAGCAAGTTATAATTGAAGTATGTCTGCAAGATATATTTAGCAAGTATGCTTTTGTGTTGGAGGAAAATCTTCTTTAAATAACATTAGCCAGAATAACTCCAGGGATTTTTTTTATTAACCCCGCAGCAGAGCTACCCCCACACTGCAAGTGCTAAGTGCTCGTTTGTGTCTAAGGACAAAAATAACAGTTATACTCACCCAATGCTCTGAGCTGGCTTCTTCCTAGACCGGTCCTTCCAATCATCACATCTATACATATTGCATAGTCGTGAGGGCGCTGAAGATTGCAATGCTGCAGGAGGAGGAGACGGGCTGGATGGAGTGCTCTGACAGATGGCTGGCTTGGAGCTTGGGGTGAGGATATCTTTGTTATTTTAGCACCTAGACACAAACTAGCAGTTAACCCTTGCAGTGCAGGGATAGACCCACTGCATGAGTTATTAAAAAAATTCCCTGGAGGAGTTCTTTAACACATTTTAGTCTTATGCTAACTAGGTCTTTATTGTGGTAAACTTCCTGACCAGATGGGCCTGTGATAAAACTGTTTTTGAGGGTGGTGTTGACTATACACAGCTGTAAAGTGTTTTTTTTTTTGTCAAAAGAAACCTGTTTAGCTAGCTGCCACTTGATGGAGGATGTACACATGTAATTATTTCAATTGATGTAACTTCAAAGGGATCATCAGAGCAGCCAGCCAGTCGGTCAGAAATCCTTTCAGTGTTCATGAATGACCGCAGGGCCGGCCTTAGGTCTTTAGGCGCCCTGTGCGAGAAAGCTTTACAGCGCCCCTCAGTGACCACACCCCTCAGTGGCCACACCCTTTAGTGACCACACCCCTAGTAACTACGCCCATTTATTACCCATATTTTTGGTAAAATATAAAAAGCGGGGTCACGTCGGGTAAATAGACACCAAACATGTCATGCTTTAAGGCCGCACGGCGCCCTTGTTGCCATGGCGCCCTGTGCGGCCGCACTGCTCGCACACCCCTAAGGCCGGCCCTGAATGACCGCAAACTGTATATGAAGCCAAAGGTTAAAAGTGTCTGGGGGGCAATTGGAGATATGAAGAGAGATGCAGATATGCATATATTTTTATATTATTATACAGGATTTATATAGCGCCAACAGTTTGCGCAGCACTTTACAATATGAGGAAGACATTACAATACAATTCAAGACCAGATGGTAAGGAAGGCCCTGCCTGTGAGGGTTTACAATCTAAAATCTATAGATTGGAAATATATGCCGAGTGGATGGAGTGTCTATATCCTTTGGAGCGTTTATCATCTGAGATCTAGATAAACATAGAAAGGGACTTAAAGGGCCTTACATTTCTTATTATTTGGTATATACTCTGTTGGACTGTCCCTGTTCATCTGTTTCTGGAATCCTATAAACACTACATGCTATGTTTTATATATATTTATACACCTTTTATCACTACAATCAGTGCTTTCAGTTTTGCAAACTCATAAGAGTCCTATGCATTTAGATGGTTACTTTGCTCAGATGCCACTAAATCCGACATGGATGTTTAGTTACTACTCCAGTTTCTTCTCTAAAGACCAATATTTACTGGCAGATAATTGGCTTTTATTAACCATTGGTCTTGGGAGTGTGTTTGCGTGTGTTTTTTAGGACTCTGGTAGGGACCTTATAATGTATCTTAACCAGGGAGCACGTTATCTGAATTGCACTGCGAGATATCCATATTATGCAATAAATTCCAGGAGATATATTCATTTAAAACACTAACTTTTATTGTAGACCACCTAGTATGAGGGTTGGAGGATATTGGCAAGCTAGTTATATGGATGCATGTTTTGCATTGTGACCAGTACAGTGCTCAGACTCTTAATTTCCAAATATAAGAAAACAAAAGGTTTTTCAACACTGTGGAATTATAATCCATCACAGGTTATATTTATGTGTATACATTCTGCAACGCTGGGAATTTAATTTTTTTATAGGGTTATATCACTGTGTATGCTGTAAACTGTGGCTTAATTTTCACCATATAATGAATGTGTAATGTTTCTACAGATATCATTCACAAATTTATTAGGGACAAATACTCTAAAAGGTTTCCCGAGTTAGAATCTTTGGTTCCCAATGCTTTGGACTATATCAGAACAGTAAAGGTAGGTGAAGTGTATGTTTTATATGCACAGCATAGGACAACATAATGTCTATTTTTCAGTTTGTACACATTTGTTTAAAAACACAGTAGAGCAAGTCAGCTTTAGGGGGGTGGGCAAGCTGTACCGAAAACTGTAATGTACACTGTTTTCACTCCTGTCCTAAATCAAAAGCAAGCAGTACGGCTGCCCAAACTCTTCCACAGCCTCCAGAATATGCGCTCCGCCCTCCCTACCATGCATCCTGGGCTCTGCTCTCTTTTCTGCAGGCTCGGGACAGCCTTGCCAGGTGTCGGTGGCAAGATGGGAGAAAGACCAGCAAATCGTATGTTCACTGATCTCCTCTCCTGTGAATGAACCTGGAAGCCACAATTAATTCATCACTTCAGGTTTCAGAGCTGCTGATGGAAGTAATTTTATTAAGAAGCTGGGTAAGTGCAACCTGTGCTTACTTACCTTCCATGGAGTAGAAAGGTGACAGGGGTCTAACAGACCCCTCTGATGGCTGATCTGTTTGATTCTTCTTGCCTTAAAGGCCTCTGACTATTCTCTGCCTGCGTTTTCACATCCAGATGAAGGAACTCTTTCCAGTTCCCATAAGTCTTCTCAAGAAGAGGACCAGTCACCTAACTTCTCCAAATGCTAAAGGACACAATTTCTGTCCTTGTGGATGCAGTCTGCACTTGTTTGCAGTTAGACCTGCCTGTGTCGACCCTTACAAAGGTTATGAGTTTGGGGTCCTTACAAATGCCCAAATGTACTAACTATTTTCCTGTTCACCTTCTTTTACTGCCTGCGTTGTATGTTTTACTGTGATCACCCTGAGAATCTGTCCTCTCCTCTTAAATGGTTTGCCCAGCAGTATTCTATTAAAGATAGCTTTTTTAAAGAGTGAAGACCTTACCATGGACCCTGACATTTCTAGCCTGAACAAGATCCTTAAAGCCCCTGTAGAGGATATCCCCGTTTTCAAGAGCCACACAGGCAAGAGGTTAGAAGCCCTCTTTAAGGCCTTGTTTGTCCTATCTGATCAGGCCATGCAAATGTAATTTGCCTCTATAGCAGCATCTTAGAATCAGTCGATCTGGTCCAAGGCTATGGCATGGGACCGTGAATCTATCTTAACTGATCCTGAAGTTTGTAAATGGCTGGAGCTATTTCCTGTGGCCCTGTGCTACTACATGGAAGACACGTAGAAGATATTTTCCACTAAATTTCTAGGAGGACTTCTGTTGGTCCACATGCGGTGGACCCTTTGGCTGAAGTATTGTTGGTGGACCTCCCTTGGAAGAAACATCTAGAAAGGATGCCTCTTTGGAGAATCCTTGGATCCATACATCAAAGTCGGGGAGCGGAAAAACACCGTCTTGCCTCAGAAGAAGCTTAGGACTTCAATATCTAATTCTTCCATTCCCTCCCTTAAGAAAATTTCCTTTCATCCTTCTTAAGCTTTGGCTTCCAAATCCAAACAGGGTGTGCAGTACTGCAAGGCCTGGACCTCCAAGGCCACTAAGGCCGGGAGTAAGCACTCTTTGCAGTAAGGGATGCCCCCATTTTACAAGTGGGAAGATGTCTTTCAGACTTCTCGGCACTGTGGGCGCTAGACATTGCCAACACCTGGGTTCAGCATCTTGTTAGCCAATGCTACAAGCCCACATGCTGAACTCTCCTCTGATTCCCTCAGACAGCTCTCTCTCTTAAGGGAACCTACACTGTGCTAATCCTTGCCTGCTTCCTGGCACTTTCATCAGAGATCTCCCCCCTTTCAGCAATTGGAACTAACTTGACTTTCACCCTGAATCACCATTGTGATTCACTGGCGCATCTCTCCACACACCAACCTGTCAACATGTAAGGGATGGGCTGTACCTCATACTAACGAGATTGCAGGCCTATGCTAACGACTTACACCAAGTCTACCTGGAAATTGATCTGGTTTACAGAGGGGACTGTCTGTGGAACTCTTCTCAAATGCAAGTACTTGTAATACGATTCTATTTTCAAAGTGACTGTTATACTTCCCAAATACAAGTACTTGTTATCCTATTCTACTATCAAGGAGATTATCTGCGAAACATTTCCCAAACGCAAATAAGTATTATCTAAATTAATTCGTACAGTGACTACCTGTGATACATTTCCCACACTTAGGTTCTATATACTGGCTGAAAGCCCTGAACTGTTGATATGCTGCTATTCCTGAGTTATAAGGTGTTGAACATGCTCCGCTCCTAAGGGATTGACCTGCTCCTTAGGCAACAGTAGGCATCTGGCCTGATAAAACAGACCCTACTGAATTTGGGATCCTGAACCTCCGGAAATCAGTGCAGGAACCTTCCCATTGCTTGAATTACCTGGTTCTGGTCTAGGATACAACCCTGTCCAGGGTCTTCCTGCCACAGTAAAAATTGCTGTCGCTCTGTTCCTATGTTCACACCCTGTGGTCCAGGAAGCATCCCACTATCTGCTTTTGCATAAAAGTTCTGGGCTTGATAGTAGCCACCTTCAACCAAGTTCCCTATGCAACAGCGACCAATGAAGAGGCTCCAGAAGTTATAGGTCTCTGAGAGAAGCCAACCTGGTTTTGACTTGGGCAGTACATCACGTTCTGACCCTACCTGCTGTGCACATTCCAGGCATGAAAAATTGTCAGGTGTGTTACCGTAGTCATCAGCGTTTGGATCCTGGAGAGTGGGCCCCCCATCCATGGGTATTTTAAATTTTATCGCAGGTGGGAATGCCTAGGGCAAAAAACAAGCTGGGCAGGTTTGTCACCAGAATCTGGGGTCCACTATCCTGTGCGGTGGATGGCTTGGTGTCGCCATATGATCAGTTTAAACTGATCTAGACCTTCCCTCCTTTGCAGGATCAAGATGGAGGGAATCCTGGTGATCAGCATGTCCCTCAACTGGACCAGGATGCCCTAGTACTCAGCCGTGATCAGACACCTGGTGGACTGTCTGTCTGTTAGCACCTCCAGGGGTGTCTTCTGTGTCCCACGGTGTCTGTGCGTGTGCACACTGCCGGGCTGTGTGCATTGGCTTACCCTGTGTCTCCCCTCTTCTCCCAGCCGAAGATCTCTACTGTGCATGCGCCCGCTCTGTGAACCTTCACGGCCGCACAAAAATCTTCGGACGGGAGCGAGCTGCGGAGACCCAGGTAAGTAATAACCTGTTTGGTAACTTTTTTTTTTTTCAATGTTTTTGCATATGTTTACTGCTTGCTAGCAAAAAAAAAGGTTTAGTTATATTTTAATATCTGGTGTCTGTAGGACGTAGATGCTAGGGACCTTTCGGGTCAAGTTATTCATGGTTTTCTATGTAGCATCAGAGGAATCAATGTGTAATTTAATGAGTTATCTGTGTTGATCCCAGCTACCAAGCAGATTCACACTTTCAGATTCCTATACAGAAGACATATGTTGATGAATGAGGACAGACTAAGTAAATCTGCAAGAGTAAATCTGCAATTCTGTTTTGATGCATAAGAAGATTGTGTCTGCCGTTTTCTGTTTTTGTTATTTTGGGGTAAGCATCTGCTCCTTAAGGAGTTACATTTCTTTAAAATGTTTTGAATTGCAGGAATTAGGAAACTGTTTGGCTAAATGCAAGAACAATGAGAACCTTCAGCAAATCCTGACCAATGCAACTATAATGGTTGTTAGTGTTACTGCCTCCACCACACAAGGGTAATTCCATGCATCTTCGCATTTATGTTTATTGTATACAGTATACTGTTTTAGAATGTAAAACTTGCTCTGATTGCATTTGTCTCTGTTGTATAGGCAGCAGCTGACTGAAGAAGAATTGGAGCGTATTGAAGAGGCATGTGACATGGCACTGGAGCTCAATCAGTCGAAACATAGAATCTATGAGTATGTAGAGTCTCGTATGTCATTCATTGCTCCCAATCTATCAGTCATCGTTGGAGCTTCTACTGCTGCCAAAATTATGGGTAAGGAACAGACTCAAATTGGATATCTGTTTGTTGTAGAATACTTTTAAAGTTCATAGGGACATACACTACCGGTCAAAAGTTTTAGAACACTCCCATTTTTTTTTTTAAATGTAAGCTGAAGTTCAGTGAATAACCTGAAATGGTACAAAGGTAAGCAGCAAACTGCCAGAAGTAAAAAAAAAAAAAAATTTAGGTTAAGAAAAACGGAAAAATGTACATTTCAGAATTATGTAAAAAAAAGGCCTTTTGCAGGGAAGAAGTAACGGGTTAACAACTCAGTTGTTCCCCAGCAGTGTAAATAAATTATGCCTTAAAAGTTTATGCTAACAATTTCTATAGGTGTCCCAACTTTTGTTAACCACTCACAAGCCCTCTGTCTGTATAATAGCAGTGTTGAAACAGACGTCGAATAGGCGAAAGGTTGGTTCCTCGGTGTGACACCAACTATCAAACATGGAGGAGGAAGCGTGATGGTCTGGGGCTCTTTTGTTGGATACAGAGTTGGCGATTAGCAAAGAGTGAGTGGCACCCTGAACCAAAACTACTACCACAGCATTTTGCAGTGCCATGCAGTACCCTCTATTGTATGCCTAGTTGGTTAGGGGTTCATCCTACTGCAAAATAATGACCCAAAACATACTCAGAACTACCTTTTTAGAAGAAAGAAAAAAACAAGATGGTAAGCTTCAAATCATGGAATGGCACACAGTCTTAAGACTTATACCCCATTGAGCTGGTTTGGGATGAACTGGGCAAAAGGGTGAAAGCAAAGCAACCTGCAAGGGCAACACATTTGTGGGAACGTCTGCAATAGTGTTGGGAAGAACTTTTCGAACATTATTTCCATTGTAGAAAGAATGCCACAAGTGTGTTAGGCTGTTACATCTGGAAAAGGTGGCTACTTTGATGAGTCAAAAATTAAGATTACATTTTGTTGAAGATAATTCCAGAATTAATCTTGGAAGTAAAATTGTCTGTTTGTTCTGTGCTTTATTTGCAGAGCACATATGGGACATTAAACTGTGTAAATTTCAATCAAAGCTGGAAAAATGGGGGTGTTGTAAAACGTTTGACCGGTAGTATGTGTACATACAGTATATGTGTGTGTGTGTGTGTATATGTTACATATATATTACACATATACATTACATATATACATACATATATATATAGATATAGATATAGATATATAGATATAGATATATATCTATATCTATATATATATACAAAGACATCCCAGTCTTAGTCCGTAGGGTTTAATATTGAGTTGGCCCACCCTTTGCAGCTATAACAGCTTTAACTCTTCCGGGAAGGCTGTCCACAAGGCTTAGGAGTGTATCTATGGGAAAGTTTGACCATTCCTCCAAAAGCGCATTTGTGAGGTCAGGTATCAGAAGGCCTGGCTCGCAGTCTCTGTTCTAATTCATCCCAAAGGTGTTCTACCAGTTTGAGATCAGGACTCAGGCCAGTCAAAATCCTCCACCCCAAACTCGCTCATCCATGTCTTTATGGACCTTGCTTTGTGCACTGGTGTGCAGTCATGTTGGAACTGGAAGGGGCCATCCCCAAACTGTTCCCACAAAGTTGAGAGCATGAAATTGTCCAAAATGTCTTGGTATGCTGATGCCTTAAGAGTTCTCTACACTGGAACGTGTAAGGGGCCAAGCCCAACCCCTGAAAAACAATCCCATACCATAATGACAGAGATGCGTGATTCGTCACTCCAGAGGACACGTCTCCACTGCTCTAGAGTCCAGTGGTGGCGTGCTTTACACCACTGCATTGCACTTGGTGATGTAAGGTTTGGATGCAGCTGCTCGGCCATGGAAACCCATTCCATGAAGCTCTCTACGCACTGTTGTGCCAATCTGAAGGCCACACGAAGTTTAGAGGTCTGTAGCTATTTATTTTTTTTAAATCAAACGTCAGCTTTATTGTGTAAATACACGATACAAGGAAAACCTATAAAGGTGTAAAACAGTCCTATTTCAAGTTTTATAGCAGTAGTGAGTTGCCCGTGGTAAAAGGGCAATCGTCGTAGGGCGAAAACAGCCCGACGGGCACATCACGGTTTATAAACATTTCGTGATAGCCTGCTTATCCAACAGTGCTTGGAGATAAACACATCGTGCTACTCCTATATCATCTAAGGTAGCTTATAAAAAAAACAGGAAAAATAAGTCATACGTGTATTGATCTGTGTTGCCCCCTCGCATCGGATAGCGAGACAAGATAATATGTGGTTCAGGCATAGCAACAAAGTAAAGGGGGAGAGGGAGGGGGGCACACAAACATCAGGGCAACAAATGGAAGGGGGAAGGGGTGGGGGGGTTGACTCGGAAGAGGAGAAAGAGGGAAGAGGAGAAAGAGGTCCAGTGAGAGACGGAAAGGTGATGGGTCTGATACGTGTACGACAAGCCTCGGGAATCCTGGCTGGTTAGAGATTTAGACGGAGGTGGAGGACATCACCCCTAGGTAGGCGTCCATGGCTCGATAAGCAACCCATGGCATCCAGGTTTACCTGAAGATTTCCTCAGTGTTTCGGAACGTGGAAGTCATGTCCTCCATCAGGTAAAGCTTGTTAATCTTGGAGAACCATAGAGAGAGACTGGGACAACAAGTTTGTTTCCATAACAATGGGATGCACAATCGGGCTGCATTAAGGAGGTGCCTAGTCAGAGACTTCTTGTATTTTGCAATGGACATGTCATTCAAGTGTAACAGACAGGCCAAGGGATCGTCCGTCCGATCCGCCATTACCAGGCCCTTTAGGATTCCGGTCACCCCACTCCAGAAAGGCAGCAGCTTAGGGCAGGACCAGAATGTGTGTAACAAAGTACCCGGTGCATTCCGACACCAACACATGGAGGATACTTGGGGAACATGGAATGTAGGACCGTCGGGACTCTGTACCAACAAGATACTATTTTGTACCCGAGTTCTTGGGTCCTGCACGCGATAGAGGAGTGATGCACAAAGTAGAGTATTCGGTCCTTTTGGGTAGGCGTGAGGGTAGTATTCAGCTCCTTTTCCCATTTTGTCAAGAAGGACAGATAAAATTCCGGGGGGTGGGGGGGAGAGAATATCAGCATAGAGTACAGTGCAGATATTGCATGGCGATTGGGCTGTCCCTCTTTACATAGCTGCTAGAAGGGAGTCAGTGGGTCGGAAGAGCTGCTGGGAATTGGGGATAGAGAGCAAGAAATGTCTCAATTGAAGGGTTCCCCAGCAGTCTAACGGAGGGTCCATTAGTTGACCGAGGTCACTGGCTGTTAACCATTGGACGAACGCATATCGCAAATCCGAAACTTATTGGCGTCTCGAAGGCGACAGAATCGGGGGTCGTCCACCCCCGGAGGGAGGGGTCATGTACTGGGGTCATGGGCGACGGGAAAGGGGAGAGGTCGGAGGAGCGAAAGAGCGACCTAACCTGTACAAGCGTGGGTGCGATGGTAGGGTGAAGATGTACCGCAGGAGCCAAAGGTGAGGAGAGCCATGGCAGTCCCTCCATTACGAAGTTGGCATCTTCCCCCTCCATGCTGACCCATTGCTTGGTCTGCCGGTGGTAACACCAGTCCAGAACACGTGCGAGTACGGTCGCTTTGTGGTATTTGGCCATGTCCGGAAGTCCTATGCCCCCCCTGTTCTTGGGAAGAGTAACGGTTGGGAAGAGTAACAGTGTCATACCGGATTCTAAATGGAGCCTGGGACCACAGAAAAGCAGTAAACATTTGGCGCAGGCGGCAAAAAAATATCGGGGGGATAGGGAGGGCCTGAAACAGGTATAGTATCCTCGGAAGGATTGTCATTTTGATGGCATTGCACCGGCCAAACCAAGATTGTGATAAGGAGTGCCAGGATAGGAGGTCCTGTCTGGTCTTCTGCAGCAATGGGGCAAAGTTAAGGTCGTATAGTCGGGTGCAGTCCGCAGCTACATAGGAGCCCAGATACTTCAGGGCGTCGGTCGACCAGGCAAAGGGGAGAGACGACTGTAAGTACTCCAGCTCCGCCCGTGGGAGGGAGACATTGAGGGTCGCAGACTTGGAGAAATTGATTTTTAAATTTGAGAGGGAAGAGTAAGACTCTAGTTCACGCAGAAGGGTGGGGAGGGAGGTACCGGGGTCCTTTTCAATAGGCCGTGGAAGTAAGGTAGGGAACGTATGCGACATAGAAAGGGTTCCAGGGTGAGGACAAAAATGAGCGGGGAGAGAGGGCATCCCATGCCTCGTACCATTGGAGATGGGAAAGAAATCTGATCGGGTCTCATTCACACGGATAGCAGCCGACGGGGGTGAGTAGAGCGCAGAGATCCATTGCAGCATGCCGGGGCCCAAGCCTATGTGGTGCAGGGTGGCCCGAAGAAAGCGCCACTCCACCCTGTCAAATGCCTTCTCTGCATCTGTGGACAACAACATTAAGGGTGACAGGGTGGAGCGGGCGTGGTGGATTGCATTAATCACTCTGGTAGTGTTGTCCCTCGGCTCCCGTCCCAGAACAAAACCCACCTGATCCAAGTGTACGAGGTCAGGGTTGTGAGGAAGTAGTCTATTGGCCAATATCTTAGCGAAGAGCTTCAGGTCAAGGTTGAGAAGGGCTATCCGGCGGTAGCTGCCGCACTGCGACGGGTCCTTGTCAGGTTTGGGTATGACCGCTATGTGGGCTCGTAAGGTGTCCCCTGGAAGGGAAGAGCCCGAGATGATGGAATTGAACGTGGTCAGGAAGTGAGGGGAGAGAAGGTGAGCGAAGGTCCTGTAGTATGGTAAGGTATAGCCTTACCCGTTTTAGCCTGTGAGTGCAAGGTCGTAATCCGCTGAAGAGATCGGGGCCTCAAGCTGAGCGGGCATCTGGGACTCGCTGATGTATCGGGAGAAGGTTGTGTCATCCCTGGAGGGTGGAGGCCTATCTGTCTCTGTGTGAAGGTTATAGAGTGAGCTATAGAAGGACAGGAATTCTTGGGCCATGGCTGCAGAGGATGTCAGTCTAACTCCTGTGTTGGA